CCCCTCCACTCCCCTACACCGCACCGACCTGACAATCACCCACTCCCCACCAGCACACCCCCAGCCACCCCATCACCACCACCCCCATGGCCCCCCATGTCCCGCACCCCCAGCCCTCCTTCCCCCCAGTGGTTGGACTCTGACTGTTAACTGTGCCCGAACTTCAAGGTCGAACCTTGGCCGGGCGCTCGACCCAGAACGTAATGACGACCTCGAATACAAAAGGCGGACCCAAGTGGTGGAACTGGGAGATCACGACAGATACACTCAGATTGCTTGGTTCAACATGAGACCAGAGAGAGAGAGCCAGTAGAGAAATACTGAAGGTTTGACAGTTGATATGAATCAGGAATTAACAGAGAGAAGCAATTCAGCCGGGTCAGGCAGGGGCCCGCTGGAGGCTACGCCCAATCACTACAAAGGGCAGCACTCAAAACCACAGCAGAGCACCCAGTTTGCTAGATTAAACAAGGAACCAGGGCGACAAAGGTAAAGAATTAGCAGTGGCTTGACAGGTGTTAGGAAGCAGGAATTAACAGAGAATAGCCACACACGCGGACCAGGCAGGGGCCCAGTAGGAGGCTGACTCAAATAATATGAAGGACAGGGATATACATCTACGGGAACGGCAGAGCTCAGAAACACAGTAGAACTGTCTCCAAACCACCCAGCAGCATAGCAGGAAGACCCAGCGACTAGCTACTACCACAAACACATCTCTGGTCGCACACATAATGGCAACAACAATAGTCAAAGAGCTTGACGGATGTGGTGTAGTAGGATACTGCGACCACAAATGTGTTATGCACTGGTTTTGAGAGGGTATAGGGTTTAAAGGGTTTAAAGGGACAGACATAGCAATAACCAAACAGGGGGGCTGCTTAAATAGGGCTGGGCTAATTGATAAGGTTGTGCTCCAAGAAGGGAAGGGTGACACTAGCAGCTCCATGGGACAACGGAGCCCGGGCAGAGACAACAATCACCACAGCCCCTTTTTTTTTTTTTTTTAACACACACCCCCTGCAGTGCTAGTGCTGCAGGTAAGAGCAGGCATCTAGGAAACAACAAACACCAATATCTGTGTCACAAGATGTATCAATGGGACGCTGGACCCGGTTTCCAGCAGGTGCCGATGGAGCAGCCCGACAGATAAGCCCTCAATTCTGACGGTTCTCTTACCACCGCCAGGATAGACGGAAATCGCAACGGTTACTTAAAAAAAAAAAGAAAAAAAAAAGAAACGGGTGCCTGTCATGAACTCTGGGAGCTGGACCTCCCAGCTTCTCAAGTAAGCGCCACCAGGCGCCCTTTTTAATCTCCCTTGTTTCCCTTTTTCCCCTGTCCGTTGGTTTCCTGCCAACGGTGGTTTCTCATTTCTAGTGCCTTTGCGGGCACTCACGGACTGGAGTCCGATTCCATGGGATCAAAGGGAAACGGAAAGTAAAAATTAGGACCCTTTCTCAATTTATGCCTGTCATCCTTGTGCAGGGGCCATGCTGATTCCGGTGCAGCTATTTTCGGCCGCACGATCTGACGATCGCACGGTCGCAGCCGTTTTCTTTTTTTCCCCCTCGAGGGCTCGCCCGAGATGTCTAGCTGGCTTGGTGCAATTTGTGGTCAAGCAGAATACCAGACCTGTTGGCTTTGTGTGGAGATCATTTGTCGGGTTTGCACGCACTTTGCCGTTGAAGGGAGGCTGGACCTGCTTTCCAGAACGAGGCGGGGTAACGGCCCCTGTAGATGGCCCCAGTATCTCCAGGGGCCAAGTCCCACTCACCCTTATTCTTCATTTCTGGCCGCCGAATTCAGGNAAAGAGGGAGAGGGAGAGAGAGAGAGAGAGAGAGAGAGAGAGAGAGAGAGAGAGAGAGAGAGAGAGAGAGAGAGAGAGAGAGTTCTCCAGCACTGACCGACAGGTAAATCTTCGACCTTGCGATTGGCCTCACCCTATGTCATCGATAGGATAAACACAATTCAATGAATCTTCCGGAACAACATCGAAATATAAACTACTGCACACACCGCGCACGTCTATGTGTGTGTGTGTGTGTGTGTATGTGTGTGTGTGTGTGTGTGTGTGAGAGAGAGAGAGAGAGAGAGAGAGAGAGAGAGAGAGGCTACATCCATCGTTAGGAGGTTTTCAGCCATGCATGCGGAGAGATAGAGAAAGACTACTTCCATCGATAGGATGAGCAAGAATATGGAAGTATACATTGGTTCCCAGCCATGCTACTTCCATCGATATGATGAGCAAAATCAAAATGAATCTTCCGCCTAAAACAAACGAATATAAAATGTTATACACTGACACTTTTTTTTTTTTTTTTTTTTTTTAAGACTCAGAAAGACAGTAGACTCGAGCCGTTACCGTTAATCGGGCGCGATGTATACTTTTTTTTCTTTACAAAATGTCGAGATCATTCCGATGTATACTTTTGTGAATAAAAGGGCGGGCGCCGTCAAATATTTCGTTCGCAGCGTGATTGATGTCCACAGAGGGGGGAGGACCGATTTCTGTGGGTTCGCGAAAAAAAGGCCTGTCGTTGTTGGGTGTTTGCGTGGGTGTACCTCTCTCACTCAGTACGGTTGACGTCAACGAAAAAGCGGCCTGAGATGTGAGGCTTTAGCACGTCCACGTGGCACGCAGCGTGATGTGGTACGGGCTTGGTTTGACGGGCGTGACATCCAGCGCAGCATGTACTTGGTGTGACGGGCGTGAGGGAACCGTGCATGAATGTGACCGGGTTAACAGCCAAGTGCATGCAGTTCGTCCGCATTCGTCTGCCAGGTGACTGTGGCCACAAACGTGAGTTGCAAGCACCGTTCGCGCGAAATTTCAAGTTCGTTAGTTGACACGTGGCACTTGCGCGCAGGAGCCACGTGACACGTGGCACTTGCGCACAAGCATCCACGTCACGAGGACGGCAACGATTCGTGGTCTGAGGGGCGTTTCACACTAGGACTTTTTCCACTCCTCTGTGGACGTAATTGCAGTCAGGTGCATCTAGGCCGGGTCGGAAAAGCGGTCATATGCATCCAGAAAAGTCCTAGTGTGATCATGCACTGAGAACGACAAATCCGGCCTTCCTAGCAATTGAGACGAGATGTTGTGTGACACGGTGTGACGTGGTGCGACACGCTGTGACGTGCTGCGACCTGTCGTGACGTGACGTAGAGGTAAATTACTTGTCCCGATTTGCCTCCTCTTCGCACCTTTTCCCTCTTACTTTTTTTTCTTTGTTTTTTTTTCCTTTTTAAACCTCCTCCGGGTATGCTATAGGTGATGGCAGAAACAAAAAAAAAAAAAAAAAAAAAAAGAGGTGATGGCAGGACATTTTCCCTCTCTTCGTACTGTGCCCTCCACCTGTTCTGCTTGCTCCTCGTTTCGACGGCTATTTTCACATCTCCACTTCTCTCTCTCTCTCTCTCTCTCTCTCTCAGAGAGAGAGAGAGAGAGAGAGAGAGAGAGAGAGAGAGAGAAGATCAGGGGAGGATGTACTGGTGGGTGCCAAAGTGAGGTAGCCTCTTGATGAGTGCCCAAACGCAACCACTGCAGCCCAAACGCGTCGAGAAATGTGCGCGTTTAGAGCATTGGCTATGGAGTGCGCGGCTGTGGACCTTTATATTACCATCGTCCGTCGGGCTGTGGTCATTTATCTGAACGCTACTTCCAATTCAATTCGATTCTTCTTCTTCTTCTTCTTCTTCTTCTTCGTTGTCTTCTTCTTTCTGCTGGTGGTGGTGGTGGTGCTGCTGCTTCTGCTTCTGCTTCTTCGTGAAGCGTCCGTCGTCGTAATTGCCATCCTTTTCTTGCAAGAGTTGGTGATTCCTTGGCGTGCGTTGGTTGTGTCCTTGATCGTCGTCTTCTTCTTCCTGGTCTGGTCGCTTCTCACAAGAAGAAGAAGAAGAAGAAGAAGAAGAAGAAGAAGAAGAAGAAGAAGAAGAAGAAAAAGAAGAAGAAGAAGAAGAAAAAGAAGAAGAAGAAAAAGAAGAAGAAGAAGAAGAAGAAGGGCGCCCTCTATCTATGCCAAACTGCTTGTGCGCGTTATGAGCGTGAGCTATGTCGGTGAAGGATTTGTGAAGTTTTAATTTTGCTCTTGCATGTATGCGTAGCGATTGGCCTTGCTATCTCATTTTATTTCATTCCTTCTTTCTTCTTCTTCGTCTTCGTCCGACGTTGTGGTCGCCTTCCCCTCTCTCTCTCTCTCTCTGATTGCTTTCTCTCTCTGACAGTGGATGTGTGTGTACGCACGCGCGTGTGGACACACACCGAGAGGGCACCAATCACACACACACACACACACACACACACACACACACACACACACACACACACACACACACACACACACAGCTTCGCCCTCTCCATCTCTCCCTCTCTCTCTCTCTCTGTCTGTCTGTCTCTCTCTCTCTCTCTCTACTCTCTCTGTGTGCGTGGGTGTGTGTACGCGCGCGCACGTGCACTCACACATACACCGAGAGGGCACCGATCTCTCTCTCACACACACACACACACACACACACACACACAGAGAGAGAGAGAGAGAGAGAGAGAGAGAGAGAGAGAGAGAGAGAGAGAGAGAGAGAGAGAGAGAGAGAGAGAGAGAGAGAG